CATTACTCAGAAGTGGGAGCCTTGCTAGATAGGTTCGCACACCTTAACCCCCATGTCTTGTTAAATAAGATGTAAAATGTTAATCTCAGAAAATCGGGTCTTAGGGGGAATAGCGATCTTATGAACCTGCACTTCCCTAAGAGTTTCTGTGTGGCTTCTTTTAGTGAGAGCAAGTGTAATCCATTTGAAAATATTAATAACAGTCCCGGAAAGGTGTTGGTCTGGACTTGGAAGATTTCCCCAATTCTAAGTTAGTTCATACTTTGCAGGCCTGTGGCAGACTTCTTTTTTTTTAAGATTTATTTTTATTTATTTATGCATACAAGAACTGGGGTGTAGACCAGAGGTGTGGGGGTGGGATGGGGTGAGAGGATTCACCAGAAACAGAGTGGCTAGCAGAACAGGTAGATCTGGTGACAACCACTGCCAGGGGGATGGAGGAGCAGTGGGCGAGACAGGAGAGTTCTGCTGTGCCCTGTGGGTCAGCTTCCTGGCTGGGGACCGAACTCTTGCTGGAGGAGGATTGAGCTCTTGCTGCAGTGGCTGGCCATAGTGTGCTAGCACTGAGATTTTAACCCCTGTGCTGTCAGAGATACCCAGTAGACTTTTTTTTATGATGTATGTGATGGGGAGAATTTCCTCAAGTCTCTTACCTAGCGGCTTCATTCTTTTCCTGCTCCTTTTCATTCCCCTCACATTTATTTTCATTCTTCTGCTTATATCTTGATATAGACATTATGGATAAACCTAAAGAAAAACGAGTGCCTTTTCTTTGCCCCTGTTCCTGACGTGTTTGGGAAGAAGGCTCTTGAGGGCTGTAGAGGACAAGTCTTGCCACCTGCGGTCTCCTGCGCTTGGCAGCGTGCAGTGGAGAGAACATAGGCTGTGGGGTGGGCCAGGCCTGGGTCTGAGCTTGGAATTGCGAGTAACTGAGACTTCGAGTGGCTTCACCTAGGGCCTGTTTTCTCATTTGCAATAAAATTTAATTCCTTAGGGTTGTCGCAAGGATTGCCAGGCTAATAAATGTAAAACATTCAGTAATTGTTGGTTCTTTCCACCTTCCCTTTCTACTTGGTAATAAACTGCTAAGGCCTCGAATAAGGAGCCGGGAACTCATAACAGATGTGCAGTGCTGGGGTGACTGCTAGGCAGTCGAGGAGCATTCTGTCCCCGGAACCCTGGTCCGGGTGGGAGCTCCTACCGGAGCCTGAGCCAGGCAACCGGCTCATCCACTCCTTAGGACCCAGTTATGCTTTTGATCCAGTTCATTTCATCTGCCAGTTCACAAAATAGTTTTGGGCTGAGACATTACCATTAAGTAATGTAATTGGAAGATAGAAACTAACTCTTGAAACAACTTAATACCTCACATTTGTCTGACATACATTATCTCACCTGATTCTTAAAGCAACTCTGAGTTGGCCTGGCCGGTAGTATTGGTTCTCATCTCACAGACGGGGCATGGCTTCCTGCCATTGTTGACTAGTGACTGATCCCGAGTTTGGGCCGGTCTCCTGTTCTTTCCTACACAGCCTCTGCTTTTGCCCTCTCAGGTAGAAAACTCCCTGGGCTGGAGGCCTAAGAATCTGATCTTCTTCCTCTTACTTGTGCTGTCTGTCATCTCCAAATTAGAGCCAGGAGGTCAGCTTATAAAGGAGAAGGTGGGAGAACCGATACCTTTCCAGGTTATTTATTGCTCCTGACCCAGAGGCCTGTAGTTTGGGCTCACTACCTTTCCTAACTCCTTTGCTGAATTCAGGTAGTGGGGGCAGAGGTAGGAAGGGTGGCCGGGTGACAGTTTCTTTGTGTAGCGGGAGTGTTGTCACTGCCCCACCGCAGTGCCAGAGTGGTAGCTGCAGTGCAGACCCTGCGGACACCCAGCGCTTACAGGATCCTCGAGCTCAGTGCCTTCTTGGCGTGGCCGGGCCGTAGGTCATCATACACAGCGAGTCAGGGCAAGTGCATACACTGGTGACATGGGAAAGGGAAGCACCCTGTTGTCTTTTTAAATAGGAACTTACTCAAGACCGTTGAGTGGCCTGTTCGAAGGTTGTGTGCGGGGGGTGGGGGGCAACTGTAGGAACGTGGGAGTGGGCTCTGGACTGGAAGGAACGACGGGAGTTTATAATGACTGCGCAGGCCAGAGCCCGGGTAGGAGGAATTTAGCAAAGGGCTGCCATACTCTTGGATTTGGGGACCTGACCCAGTGGAAGAGCCTCACTGATGGAGAATTAATTAGCGAGTTTATTGGACACCTGCTTATCAATTCCTCTGGGCTTGCTGGCTGAATGCTGCATCTACTTTGAGGCAAACAGGCCTGAGCTTTTGTGTTTGGTGGGGCTGTGGGGAGCGTGGGAAAGGAAACTGAAGCAAAAGACTCAGCCTAGGCCAGTCTCCACATGTCTTCCCCACTACGACTATTGCACTGGTTTCTAATGTCTTTGTGGGCATGCCGGGACTGGGCTCTGAGGTTTCTGCCTTAGGGGAGAAGGAGGGGGAAGGGCATTCCCAACAGCAGCTTTTCTCCCCAATTTGGTTTGCTGGGTACAGCACCACATGGATTTTTATCCATATTTCAACCTGGTCCTGGTCCTGTACAGGAAGACGGGTAGAGAACCCTCTGATGTCAGGAGAATCTAGGTTGTAAAGAAAACTACATTTGCGGGTATCAGAAAGCAGAGCAAAGACCAAAGGGCATTTGTCACATTAAGCAATTCCAAGTCACATTATAAGCTACTCCCTTCCATTCCCACATGTCTTTCTACCATTACACATCCTCGCTCCTCTTATTTTTGAATGTATGGGGTATATTTTATTTTTCTCTCATTCTCATTTTCCTCCAAATATTTCTGCAGCTCTCTCCTTCCTGCTTCCTCCTTGCTGTGGTGGCTGGGATGCTTGTCACATGACTTTTTGAATCTAGACTGGGCTGTTCTCTGTGTTAAGCCAGTCATTTGCGACCTTCTCTTAACAGGTGTGTATGGAAATGTTTATTAAAAATACATTTTTTAAGTGCCCTTTTTCTTTAGGGGTTGATGAGTGGGTGGGAAATACAGGAGAGGGTTTATTCTAAAACATGTCTTGCAACATGGTATATTTTGACCATAAAAATCTCCCCTAGTTACAAGGGAGAAACGCAGCATGAGGGCCAGTGGTATGACTGTGCGCTCCTCATTTACCAGCCAGCTTGCCTTTTACAATGAGTGGGGCGTGGGGGCGCGTCACCTCATATGAATGGCATTTGTGGTATCACTTCTACACATGGGCCCTCTAGTTGCATGGGTATTATTATCCTGAGTTAGAGTAAGGAGGTAAAAATATGGCCCTCTTTAGAGCTTTCTGCAGGGTAACGTGGGAAGTTTCAGTCCCTGACCGACCGAAGGTTAGACGATGAACTGCTTTGAAGCCCCCTTTCAGAGTTTGAGCCTAATGCCCTCTTATCCACTCCCCAAGAGGCGAAATCCTGAAGACAGTGCGTTTTTAAACAGAACTCTGTGGTTCTGTTGCTCTCGTAGCTCACTAGCCAAGGGACACTTCATTTGCCCTTAATGTTGTCGTATAATTTTGAAGTACAGAAGGGCTCCTTCATAAATATATTAAATATGAAGACCTTAATTTTGTTTCCTGCCTTTGATGGTAGGAAGCGTTTTGCTTCTTTCATGTCTTCTTGGCATTTTTAATTTATCGTATTTATTAGAAATTGTGCCATCACTGCAGGGATTTCAGTGTGCAGGTTGGGGAGGGCAGACCCGCACCTCTCCTTATCTCTGGACATGGCTTTCACCTGGAGGTCAGTGAGTGATCGTCTCTATGCAGTCATGGCCTTCCCGGACTTGATGCCAGCACATTTTTCCAGGGAAAAACAGTTCAATTTTAATCTCATGTCCTGCCTGCAGCCCCGAGGCACATTCCCCTCTCCGTGATGAGGACTGTTGGGTCTAGGTTGCTTTTCCTCTCAGTAGTTATTTCTGGTGGGGTGTTAAAGCGGGCTCAAGGATCCTGCTTGAGCAGACACTGGTGATGGGCTCCCAAGCTTGGTGGTGGCTTGCTTTCTGCATGAAATAAAACCTAGAGAGGGCATCCTTGGCTCTGGGATTAATAATTCATCTGTCTTCTCTGACCTGTGACCTTTTCTCTCCTCTCTTGCCTTCCCCCGGTAGTGTGACGTGAGGGGGCCTTCTCCCTCCTCCCTCCTCCCTCTGTGATCCACCTTCTTTTTTACCCTGCCCTGCGGCGGCTCTGCCCCTTACCTTCATGGATGACTCAGAGGTGGAGTCCACCGCCAGCATCTTGGCCTCTGTGAAGGAGCAAGAGGCCCAGTTTGAGAAGCTGACCCGGGCGCTGGAGGAGGAACGGCGCCACGTCTCGGCGCAGCTGGAACGCGTCCGGGTCTCACCACAAGATGTCAACCCACTCATGGCCAACGGCACCCTCACCCGCCGGCATCAGGTAACCCCTCTCTCCATCAGACCCGCAGGTAGGACTTGAGCACTGTGGTGGAGGGGCTGTGCCCCTCCTGGGGAACACACTCCTCACGGGCTGTCCTGTGCCGCGCTTCGGGGTGGACCTGTCCGGGCGCCAGATACCGATGTAGAGCTAGGGAACATTGCTGTGCGGTAGGGTGGCTTGGGTCTCAGGGGCGTCCACTGGCTTCCTGTTTTGCTGGAGTGGGGTTTCTGGGCTGGGAGTGCAATTCTGGTAATGACAGGTTTTTTTTCTGTTTTCTCATTATTTTTTTCCCTGCCTAGACATACAAAATTCAGGGAAGTAAATGCCCCTTAGTGGTTGGGGAAGTTAGTGTCTTGTACTCAACTCTAGTTCAGTCTCCCTTAGGGAACAGTATGTTCTTAGGTGTGGCAAGGTCAGTAAATTGTGTATTCCCACTCCATATTGTCCTTGTGTGCTCTTTTTGTTGGCCATGTATCACGTCTTAGAGGAAGGGTCATTGTTAATTCCGCTGGTTGGAGCTGGGGAAGGCGCATCGTGCTGCTGTTTAGCCCCGATAACCACAGGAGCCAGTGGTCTCTGGGCTGGCTGGCTCGGGGCTCGGACCTGGGAGAGCTGGTGTTAGAAGTGAGAAGTATCTTGAGTTTCCCGTGGTTTCTCCAGCCTGACTCTGTTGTGATATAATCTGTCTGAGGCTTGTGTGTGCGAAGCATGGCGGGTAGACTGCATCTTCAGAGGCCCCGACGGAGCCAGGAACGGGCTCACGCTCCAGCAGCCCTTTGCCTTATTACTCATTTATGTTTTACGACAGAGCCGGTCCCTCGTGCTGAGGAGCATGTTGAGTGAGAGGACACAATTCCAGCTGGCGTGATGAGAAATCTGGAGGCAGAGTGCTTGTAATGCTCCTAGGACGGGTATAGGCTGCAGCGTCCCTCGTTCAGGAATGCTGAGGCCCACGTATTGAAAGGGGAGAGTAGGACCTCTCAGACTTGGGGATGGTGGGGAATTCCAGGGTTTTCTCTGTCTCTTTTTTATTTTTAACTTCGGCTCAACTATGAAACCCCACCCTACCTTCTTCCTGAGAGTAATGTTTAACTTCCTCTCTCTGCATTACACTCCCTGTGTAAGAGGAGCTGGTGAGGGGCGTGGCCCAAGGTGGCTGCATCTCACTCTCCACTGCTAGAGGCGCTCAGAGGCATCTGACATGTGTGCTGTCAGCTCGCCCTCTCTGTTTAAGCTTGGACCACTGAAGAATGCATTTTCAGTGTGTTGCGTGACTCCACTAGTGGGCGATGGACATGCTGAGAGGTCTGTTTGCTTGAGGGGATGTGGGGCACATTTAATCTTTCTACATGGAAGGAAGACTCGTCTGTTCTTCTACAAATCGGTGTGGCGTGGGCTTGCCCAGCGGTAGTCGAGCGTGAGCGCACTCGGACACCAAAGGGGCCTTTCGGTCGCGGCTCCCTCCCGTGACCAGCCTTTCCGCCTGTCCTTGCATTCTTCCGTTTTTCCAAAAAGGTTGCATGTTGGGGAATATATCTGGATCTGCAGGTAGTTTGTGAGATACATCACTGAACAACACTGACCCAAAAAACCCTGCCAGACCCTGCACACCGCCATGCTCACGGAGCTTCCTTCTGGTGTCCCAGAGGCCCAGGCTCCCAGAGTTCCAGGCCTGATACTGGTTTTAGCAAAGCGCTACTAACACTAAAAAGCCATGCGATTCTTTGTGAGTACTGACCGGAGGACTCCAGGCCGCACACATCTTCTTGAAAACCCTTTTCCTGTCTGGAAAAAAGGTCATTTTCTGTTTGCTAGAGCAGAGGAAGACCACAAAATTAATTGTTTTCTTGTGGGCTATGTTTCAGAACGGCCGGTTTGTGGGCGATGCTGACCTTGAGCGACAGAAATTTTCAGATCTGAAGCTCAACGGACCCCAGGTAATTCTCGCGGCTCCGGTCCCTGGCGGCTTCGTTTGTATCTTCCTAATTCCCAGCCTATAAGAGCAGCCAGTGCCTCCTAGGGCGCGGTGCCCTGTGAGCATCGTGAGGTTCTTTCACTTGGGGAAGTAAGTGCAGTTTTCTATCGGACTGGATTCAGTTTCCAGTGACCCCCGCTTTGATTCTTCAGCTGCTGCCTCCCTGTTCTGCCACGGCACGGTCCCGCTGCTCAGAAAGCCAGCTAGCAGTGGCAGGTCCCGTGCCACAGTGAGCTCCTGAAGAGCAGCATCTCTGAGCCTCTCAGAAAGTGGCGCGCACTGGGGTTTTCTGGCTCCTTGTAAAACTTCTTTATTGGATGAACTTCTTAGTTGAAGGATCACTCCGTTGTGGAGGTAGCTGCGGTTAACATAGTTCGTCTTCACTTAGATGACCAGAGCTGGGAATAAATCTGCTGTCTCTGTCATCAGATGTTGATGTGGCTCTAGTTAAATCAGTTCGTGTTTAGTAAGTGACTAGACCTGGGAAAAAGTCCTGGACCGAAGATAGTGATGCATGAAGAGTCTGTCTCTAGGGAGACGTGGCTTCTCCCGGGCTGACCTAACAGGAGCTCTTCCCTTTGCCTGTTTCTATGCAGGAGCACAGTCATCTTCTGTACAGCACCATCCCCAGGATGCAGGAGCCAGGGCAGATTGTGGAGACCTACACAGAGGAGGACCCAGAGGGCGCCATGTCCGTTGTGTCTGTGGAGACCTCAGATGATGGAACCACTCGGCGCACGGAAACCACAGTAAGCGAAGGCTTACTTAAGGTCTGGGAGGATGGAGTAGGTCCTCCTACGGTCTCTGTGAGGGGCGGGATGAAACTTTAATTAGGGTGAATGAAGGGCCGCTGGCGTGTGGCGGAGGCATAAAGAAAGTCATCTCCAGCCAGACAGAGTAGACAGAAGAGATGTGGGAAGCCTCATGGAGCAGGGGAGGGGGCGGGTCTGTCGAGGTGTAGTTTCCCGTACAGCCGCAGTTGCTGCCCGGGCGACCTCCCTGCCTGGGCACTCCTAAGAGGTAGATAAGATGACTTGTAAGACTTGTAGATACAGTGAACTGAAGGGCAGGGGCTCTTTCTTGGAGTAATCTAGATGTAAGCTTACAGCATTCTCTTCATTAATTTTTCTTTTCCTGTTTCCTTCCTTGCAGGTCAAGAAAGTCGTGAAGACTGTGACCACACGGACAGTACAGCCAGTCCCTGTGGGGCCGGACGGGCTGCCTGTGGATCCCTCGTCTGTCTCAAACAACTACATCCAGACTCTGGGTCGTGACTTCCGCAAGAATGGCAACGGGGGGCCTGGTCCCTACGTGGGCCAAGCAGGCACAGCGACCCTTCCCAGGAACTTCCACTACCCCCCTGATGGATACGGCCGCCACTATGAAGACGGTTATCCAAGTGGCGGTGACAACTATGGCAGCCTGTCCCGGGTGACCCGCATCGAGGAGCGGTACAGGCCCAGCATGGAAGGCTACCGGGCTCCGAGTAGACAGGATGTCTACGGGCCCCAGCCCCAGGTCCGGGTAGGGGGCAGCAGCGTGGATCTGCATCGCTTTCACCCAGAGCCCTATGGGCTGGAAGATGACCAGCGCAGCATGGGCTACGATGACCTGGATTACGGCATGATGTCCGACTACGGCACTGCCCGCCGGACGGGGACGCCCTCTGATGCGCGCCGACGCCTCCGGTAGGCACGGAGAGGGGCTTTGCAGGGCAGGAGCTAGGGGCGCTGGCTCTTCCTTCTGCTCTCGGTGCTGCCGGGGACCCGAGGCGCTGGCCACCCTTTGCCACGGCCTTTGTTCACGGAAGACCACCTGATCATCCCTTTCTGATTTTACTTAGAGTCGACTTGCTTTTGTTTGTTTGCTTGTTTGGGTTGTGTTAGACTTTTCACTATAAATATCATAGGTTCTGACTCCAGAAAATGACTTGTCCTGGCTATTGGTTATGTCCTGAAGAATGGCCCTTTGTGTGATTCCAAGATGGACCCCATTTGAGAAGAGGGAACATCTTAAAGGAACCCCAGTTCTGGGCTGTGGAACAGTCACTCATTCCTGTGAATTTCTCCAGCTTCTGTGTTGCTATTACGAAGAGAGTTGAGGGGTTTCAGGCTTCCAGGGCCTGTAGATTCAGTGTACTCAGTTGGGGAGTTTATTGGACCCTCCCTGTGGTAGTTTTAATTTCAAGTTAAAAACAAATCTTGACCTCACAAAAGCCCTTGCTCTTTATCAAGTCTGATTGTAAGAGGAAATGCGGGTGGTGTCATGGTGGGGGGGCGGGTGAGAGGTGCTCCAGGCGGTCACTGAGCAGCTTCTTACTGTGTGTACCCCTCACCACCCCCTACCCCCC